TATGTTACGGGGGCGGCGATGGCACGGTCGAGGCAAGCAACGTCAGCGCACTGCAGCAGCCCAGCGTAGCTTAAGGCCCCCCAGATATGTACACAGGGATCCGCTTGCAAGATTTCCCTGCGACGCTAAGGAAGCCCTAAGGAATCTCACGGTTCCCCAACGAATCAGACCGAGAGTTTCCGAACGAAACAGGCACGATCTTGGAAATACGCCAAGCAACTAGTCCGACGGTCTGCCCACGTGCGAACGCTTGTAATATGTATGAGAACAGATTTTCCCTCCTCATACCTCCTGCCTCCTCATGCCTCCCCCATCCGTACCCGTTTGGCTAAAAGCATTCGCGGCCCAAGATTCAGTGGCACACGTTGGCAGACAGTGCGCGCTCACATTCGCGCATCCGCCTGGCGGTTCCGCTGGGCACGAGGGGCTCAACCAGCGTGCATCAGGCTCTCACGCAGGCGACAGGAGGCGAAAGCAGCGACGCCGGCCAGAAAAAGCAGCTAACCACCGTGGATTTCACAGTCACCAGAGGGCAGTGGGAGAGGAGGCCCCGCCGCCGGCCACCTGCCTCGATGCACGGGCGCGCCTCCGGCGCAAGGAGGTACTTTTTCAATGCCGCCTATTTGTGTGTGTGAGCCAGTTCACTACTCCCCCACAGTGCTACAATTAAGTCGGGCCTGTCCCTCTACAGCAGGAATGTTCAAAAAGATTGAAAAAATAGTCTGCGGACGATGTTTCCCGCATTTTTGGGCATTTGGGGAGCATTTGTGGGGTATGTTTGGTTTTTCGTCCAAAATCCCCCTGCAGGGGGACAGGCCCGACCTAATGCTATAACATGACCCCTCGATGGCACCGCGGAGACGAGCTGGGGTCGACGGCGCCCACAGGGGGGCAGGGGGGGGGCTGCCTCGAGGGGTGCCGGCGTCTACGACGGCGGCAGGGGCTTCTGCATTCGCCCCGCGTAGGAAGGATGGGCAACCTTCCCAAGGGTACCCTTGCACGCTTGCCTCCTCGGCCCGTCCTTGGCCACTTTCGCTGGCCGCGCCCCGCCCGAGAAGCTTCGACATGGGCGTCCAAGGCCCTTGCAAATTTATCGCGCATGCTTACGATACCGTCGGGGCCCTCTTCGTTGGGGAGGGGCTCGGTGTCCCTTGATCGTTCTGCTGTTTGCCTTCGGTGTTCCCGAGGCCTTCCATGGGAAGCCGAAGTTCCGCTTATGTGAGAAAGGGGCCTCGCTCCTCATTTATAGCTCCTTAGGTCAACGCCCCGACGGTACGGGCCGGCTTTGAGACGGCAGGGGTAGCCTCCAGGGCCTCCTGTGAAGGCCCCCGCTCTCTCAGAAGCCCCCTCTGCTTGCCTTCTCCGAGGCCGACCCCCTTCGCGCCACGCCCTCTGCGGGCGCTGCCTCCTCCTCCTCCTCCTCCTCCTCCTCCTCCTCCTCCTCCTCCTCCGCACTAGGTCGGGTATTGTTACAAGCGCCCCCGGCCCAAGGTGCCCCCAGGATGGCCAAGAAGGCCCCCACGGCCTCCAGATCACCCCATCACGAGGCCCAGAGGGCGCCCCAGGGGCTCCAAACTCGACCGAAAAGCTGGGGGCACCCTGGGCCAGGGGCACCTTTAGCAACGCCCGAATAGGGGGCGGGGCTTTGGAATCCGCAGTGATTGCGCGAATGCAGCTGCAGTACGCACCCAAGGGGATGCGACGCCAGGGCGAACGAAGCCACGGGCGTCACCGACAAGAGGACGAGGACGAAGGCGAGGACTCCAGGAAACTCGTGTGTGACTCACCGTCAGGGGTTTCATCTTTGATCGGATCCAGTGGATATCCGACTGGGCCAGACCGAGTTGGGCACAGGGTGGCCATCTGTGAGCCTGACCAGCTGGACGTGCGCTTTGGCTTGCACCTTGCAGACGCGAAGGCTGCCTCGGGCAACTGCATCCGTGTAGTTGCTGCTAAATGTGACGCTGTTATTGCCAGGTCATAGAATTCGGCGAGGTCTGAAGCGACCCCCTCATTTTCAAAGGGAACCCTCCTCCACCCGTGTAGCTGCGGAAACTCTTAGGACGAATGTGCGCGGCATTGGGGTGGAGGCCACAATGTGAAAACCATTCGCAATCCACCCGTGCACTTGCTGGAAGCACACGAAGGTTGTTACGACGAGTGTGCGTTTCTTTGCAGCGAGGCCCACATTTTGAAGATCGTCCGCTCTCCATCCGTGCAGCTTCTGTTCGAAGCGCTAAAGACGAATGCGTGCGGCCTTGAAGCGAGAGTCACGTGTTGAAAGCCGCCTGCCCCCGATCCGTGTTGTAGCCGTTGGAAGTTTGTTCATCCGAATGTGCACGGAGCCCATGCGAGAGAACCAGTTTGGAAAAGACGCCCTCCGTCTGCGTCTCCTCCAAAAGTCGAAAGTTGAAAGTTTGACCGTTCAAGCGTTAATTAGGCTCATAAGTGTTGACTGAGAAGAATGTTTCAGGCGAAACGACTGGCCCGACCTAGCGACGCGTCTGGGAGAGTTGGGAGGACGAATTGCTTGCAAGTAAGAGGGGTGGAGGGGAAGGCCGGGAAGCAGCAGAAGCAGGGTGAATGAGAGGGAAGGGGCGAGCAGGCCAGGAGGAAGGAGGCCAGAAAGGAAGAAGCCAGAGGGGGGCCAGTGGAGAGGTGGCCGGGAGGGAGGAAGCCAGGAGGCCCAGAGGGAGGAGGAGGAGGAGGAGGAGGAGGAGGAGGAGGAGAAGGAGGGGGAGGACGAGGAGGGTGAGGAGGACGAGGAGAAGGGCGACAACGAGGAGGTCGAGGAGGAGGAGGACGAGGAGGAGGAGGCCGAGGAGGAAGAGGAGGAGGAGGACGACGACGACGACGACGAGGACGAGGAGGACGAGGAGGGCGAGGACGAGGAGGACGAGGAGGGCGAGGAGGAGCGTGCAGCAGCCCCGAGCAGCCCCCCCCCCCAGAACGCGACGTCCATCCGCGGGGCCAGCAGCGCGGGCACCGCCCCCCGCTGGGAGGGAGCGCGGGCCGCCCCCACCTTGCGGGGAGGAGCAGCGTCGGGGGGGGGGGGAGCAGCGTCGGCAGGCGGCGCAGCGTCGGGGGGGGAGGAGCAACGTCAGAGGGTGGGGGGGGGAGCAGCGTCGGGGGGTGGGGGAGGGGGCGAGAGGCGAGTGGGGGGAGAGGCGAGGGTGGGGGAGGAGCAGCGTGGTGGGGGGGGGGGGGGCAGGGGCAGCGTCCGCAGGCGGCGCGCCCCGTTGGGGGGGAGGCGCGAACTCGAAGCAGGACGAGGCCATGGGCGCAAACTGCTGGCGCTCCGCGCGGGTTTTCCTTTGGATCCGCGCGGGCCCCCCCGTGGCGGCGCCTCGGGCGCCGCCCCTGGCGCGCTCCGCGCGCCAGGGAGGGGTGTGCGCAGCGCGGATCCAAGAGATCCGCGCGGAGCGCCAAAAGTCTACGTGTATGTCCCGACGGTCGTTGTCCCTGCATGCCAGGTGCTGCTTATTGTCCCAGGGACTTGCTTGGAACGGTTCCGCCCCCGCGTGGGTCCTGGCCTCGCGCAAGCCCCGCGGCACCTGTCCAGGGGCGCACGCGCTGGTACGGCCGTGGGGCGCGCCCTGGACAGAACGGCAGGAGTTACAACGTTTCAGAGACCTCTTCCTCCTCCTCCTCCTCCGCCTCCTCCTCCTCCTCCTCCTCCTCCTCCCCTCCCGTTCTTGCTCAGCATTCCTTCGGCAGCGTCCAGGAAGCTGGCGCAGCGTTTGCTCAAAATGTTGCCAGAAAGGCCGCGCAGGATCATCGGGCCATGGATTACCAGTCACAGCCTCGACGGCATAAGTGGGATCAACGCTTGATCGAAACCGCGTGCGAAGCAGATCGCAGGGCGCAAGTTTCGGGAGAAGAACACCAGAGTTGCCCCATCCGGTAAAAGATTGCGGTGCTTCCTTGGGTGAAGAGCACGCGGGGAGAGTCCTCCTCTACTCTACAATGCCATACCCTAGCATCCAGGATCGAGTACACCACCTGTCCGGCCCAGCCGCCCCGACCAACAGCCAGGGGGAAGGGGAGGTTGGAACGCCGAGCGCGGGCAAGGACGCCCGACGATTGGGGGGGATACCCTGGAGGGGGAAATGTGATGTTCTGCCCTAGCCTCTCGACAAAAACATGCCGTGGAACACCACATCACCAACACGCCAAGAAGCGCGAAAAGTGAAGCTAGATCGGTGGCTCAATATGTTGCTTCCGGGACCTCTCAGTCAGAGGAGGAAAAGGTACCCATACCTCTACCCTTCGCCCGTTTTCCCCTTTTTGGTCTCCTCGGAGGCCCTCGTCGCCACCGCTGGATTCGCCTCGAAATCCTGGTCAGAACGCACCCAGGGAGAGGTCCGTGGGGTAGCGGCATCGGTACCTCTTGATTTCCCCAAGAGATCGGTGGCTCAATCTGTTGCTTCTGGGATCTCTCAGAAGCCTGCCGACGAGTCGGCAGTCTAGTTCGCCAAATGGCACATTGCCGTGCTTGCGCCAACGAGTACGTTTGGCTCAATCCGCTCTGGCCCAGGATCGCGTTTGCGCTCGCACCTTGAGATCCGACGTTGCGAGAAGATGGCAACATCACGACAAATCACTACCAGAGGCCTTGGCCCAATCTTTCTGCGGCATTCTTCGAGCCTGATCCATCTGTGAGGGTCCCGGGCCCGTCCCCTCTACCCCATTGTGGTCGTTTTTGTTGTTGCTTTCGGCATAGGCCAGAGTTGTAAGCAGCTGATTTGCGGGACTGCCGTTTTGGGCCGACACTTCGCCCACTCAATCTCTCTCCTCGCCCTCCTCTTCGTCCTCCTCCCCATCTTCCTCTTTCCCCCTGCAGGTGTTTGCCTTCGGTACTGCAGCGGTTCGTCGCGCCCCAACAAAAAAGTCTGGGAGGGTCCCGGGGCCCGAATCAACGCAGACCCGCCCGTCGTGGTGACAATGCAGCGCCAGGATCTCCAGGCAGCGCAGCTGCCCGGATAGCTCCTCCCCGCAGCATGGCGCCGGCGGCGTCGGGGCGGGCCTTGCACTCCTCGCGCAGCGCGCGCGCGGTGCGCGCCGCGAAGAGGCGAGGGGGTGCAACGACAGCCCCTCCTCCTCCTCCGCCTCCTCCTCATCCTCCGCCTCCGCCTCCTCCTCCTCCGTCTCCGCCTCCTCCGCCTCCTCCTCCTCTTCCTCCGCCTCCGCCTCCTCCGCCTCCTCCTCCTCTTCCTCCGCCTCCGCGGCCTCCGCCGCCTCCTCCGCCGCCTCCTCCGCCGCCTCCTCCTCCTCCTCCTCCTCCTCCGCCTCCACCTCCTCCTCCTCCTCCTCCTCCTCCTCGTGGGGGATGGGCTGGGCACAGGCCGGCGGCGCGCCCGGGGCGGAAGTGAGGAGGAGGAGGAGGCTTGCTCAGAAGGCTCGGAGGTCCCACAGCCTGCTGAGAAGTTTTCTGAGCCGTCCCCGAAGACACAGAAAGCCTCTCAGAAGGCTTCCCGGCCTTCTGAGAAGCCCCGCCGCCGTCAAAGAAGGCCTTCTCCTTCTCACTCCCCCCCAGGCGCACCGCCGAACAGCTTGGATGCACCGACCTCGGAGGGTTGACACATCGACGATGCATCGCTGCTATCAGGGCACGCTGCCCAACGACGTACAGGTGCGACGCATCGGCGGTGCATGGACGGTGCTCGGGGCGGTCTGCATCGACGATGCATCGACGACACATGGGGCGATGTACTGGCCGTTCGAGGCCGAGGCATCCCGCCGATCGCTGCCCCTCGAGGGGCCCCGGCCAGCGCTCTCAGCAGCCGCCGGGCGCGGCCGTGGGCGCGCTGCCGCTGCTGGCGATGGAGGAGGTTCGGCAGGGGGGGCCTCCCCGTTCGTCCTCTTCTGCTCGGCCTGTCTGGGCCTGCCGGAGGCCTTGCGCCGCCGCGGCCGGGGCCGCGCCTCCAAGGACGGGGGTCAGGATGGACGCCGCGAGCCCAGACGCGATCGCGTCGCAAAGATGCAAGAGTCAGGACGGGAGGCTTCAGGCCCATGTCGGCCTCGGGGGGCCCTCGCCGGGCCTCGGGACCGTCCAGATACGACCCAGGATGGAAAGCCGGTCCTGGGGAAAGAGGGTCGGGCCTTCCACGGGCCCCGCATCGAACAAAAAGAAGCACGACGTCGCCTGTCTGGGAAGGGGGTGTGGGGTGCTCGCCCTCCCCTTTCCCCCGCGGCCGCCCAGCCCGTCCTCCTCCCCTTCCTGCATGCCGGCCAGTTCGCTCTGCCGTGCCCCCTGCATCGCTGCCAAGCTGGAGCGGATGGTCCCGCCTCGCTGCCGAGGGTAAATAGTCCCCACACATGCGACGTCCCGATTTTTTCAGGACGGGGCCCCTAGAAGTCCCGACCCGTTCCCTGGGACCGCTTTTTCATCCTGAGTCGTTTTTTGACGGTCCCGAGGCCTGGCGAGGGCCCCCCGAGGCCGAAAATTGCCAAAAACCTTCCGTCCTGGTTTTTCAACGACGCGGTCATGTCTGGGTCTGGGAAGGGGTCCGGGGGCGGGGGCCGATTGTGAGCGGATTTGCGCCGGGCGGGAGGGCCGGCGTTGTCTCAAGCGGTCCTCCTCCGAGAGGTGCTGGCGGCCATCCAGAGCCTCTACATGGACGAGCTCAGGCCCTTCGGCCGCATCCTGCGCAAGCGCCTGGCCGAGCAGTCCTTGGCCGCGAGGCGGCGACGACGACGACGACGACGACGACGACGACGACGACGACGACGACGACTGCGGCGACGACGAGGGCGGCGACGACGACGACGACGACGACGACGACGACGGCGACGACGACGACGACGACGACGACGGCGGCGGCGACGACGATGACGGCGATGACGGCGACGACGGCGACGACGACAACGACGACGACCTCGACGGCGGCGGCGGCGGCGGCGGCGACGACGACGACGACAAAGACGACAGCGACAACGACATTGGCGGCGGCGGCGCCTGACCCAGCGGGCTGTGGCCTGGAGGTGCACCGCCCCCGACATCGACATGGACTGCCTGCGCGCGACCTGCGTGGCCTGCCCCTGGCTCCGGGTGGAGGACCTGCGCCGAGCACAGCTGCCTCCGTTCTTTCCGAAGCTTTCCCAGACATGACCGCGTCGTGAAAAAATCAGGACGGAAGGTTTTTGGCAATTTTCGGCCCCAGGGGGCCCTCGCCAGGCCTCGGGACCGTCAAAAAACGACTCAGGATGAAAAGCCGGTCCCAGGGAACGGGTCGGGACTTCCAGGGGCCCTGCCCTGAAAAAATCAGGACGTCGCATGTCTGGGTGCCCGTCTTCGCCCTGGCCAGCGTTTATCTGGTGTCTTCGACAAAGCTGGCACAGGTTCTCAAACTCCTGCAACTGCGACAGTGGCGGTACGTGCGGAGAGGGTCCAGATATCGCGCATAGCCCAGATGGTCCAGTCGGCCTAGGTGCCGCAGCATGGTAGTATTCGAAAGAGCGCTTTCTGACACTGCTGGCAGGGGGGCGGGGGTTGACCCCCCCCACCAAAACGAGGGAAGGCGAGGGGATCCAGACCCCCCCCCCAGAAAATTTGCCTAGCTAAGGACCCAACCATAATTATGAAGTTGCGAGTAACGCAACTGTGAGCATCGTCTTCGGTGGAGCTCCCTATGTGGCCACGAAACGTGTGTGGGTGTGCCGACATGGGTGCCAGGGACGCATGCGAACGGTGCCATTGGGACCTTCGGTGGAGCTCCCTAATGGGCCACGAGTAGGGTGAGGGGTGCGCCGAAATGAGTGGCGGGGACACGTGCGAACGGTGCCACTGGGGACTTCGGTGGAGCACCCCCTGGTGCCGCGAAACGTGTGAGGGATGTGCGAAATGGAGGAAAACTGCATGCGGACCCTGTCGCTGGGGCCTTCGGTGGAGCACCCTATGGGGCCACGAAACGAGTGAGGGGTTGATGCGAAGTGGAGGAAAACTGCTTGCGGACCCTGTCGCTGGGGCCTTCGGTGGAGCACCCTATGTGGCCACGAAGCGTGTGAGGGGTGCGCCGAAATCGGGGTGGAGCTGCATGCGGGCCCTGCCACTGGGGCCTCCAGCGGGCCGCCCTCCATGCGTGAAACGCGTGCAAATTTGTGTAGCGACAGGTGCGCGACACCAAGACGAGAGCAACATTTTGAATACGGGCCGCCCTCCATCCGTGATGCTCTTTTAATTTTCAAGTTTCTGGACCATACAAAGGTGAAGATGTCTGGGGCGAAACGCCCAGTCCGCCCTTTCGACGGGCCTCGTGGCGTGACATGGAGGAGTTACAGTCAACCCGCATAGTAAGGATGAATAACCTTCCCAAGGGTACCCTTGCGTCCTTGCTTCCTCGGTCCATCCTTGGCCACTCTCGTTGGCCACGCCCCGCTCGAAAAGGTTAGAAATGGGCGTCCAAGGCCCTTGCATCCTTATCGCGCGTGCTTCTGATACGGGCCGACAGTATGCACAAGGAAGGGGGACTGAGAGGCTGAGGAGGGGAGAGGACGAGGCAAAATAGACCTGGTGGGGGGGGACGAGGACGTGGCCTCTAGGGCTACCCGGGGACATTTGAGTATCGACACGCATAAGGCTCCACACGTACTGGGTTCCGCACGCAGTTAGGTCGCACGCATTGGGCATACCGCCATGGGCGTGAACAGCGCTCGCCAAAAGAGGAACCCACGCCCACGCGTTGAACAAAAAAAGCGTCCCACAATTTTGATGGCCAAAGCGGGCGTGTCTGCGGGGTTGGGGTCAGGGCGCTGATGGTGCCGATGCCTTCTCTCTCATGTTGCGGCCGCAACGGCAAGCTTGAAATGGTGTGCCCGGGGCTGGCCCCGTCCGAGCAATATTTGTTATTGGCGTTTGCAACACCAACAGCGACAGGGTGGCGAGCTGGCGCGCCAGAGGAGGACCCCGCTTGAGGGCTGGCGGCGAGGCCAGAACATTCGGGGGCGGACAGAACCCCCAATAGTGACACGTCGATTAGTGAATTGTCCGTTTTCGGTTCTCGAGAGTTCGCCGCGGCCGTTATTTTCCAGGCTGGCGCCTGCCAGGTTTGGGTCTCAGGTCGTTTTCACTAAACCACTTTTTACTAAAGTGAGGTCTGTCCATCCCCGAAGCATGCAGAGGCTGGCACAGGTGTTCAGATCTCGTATTGGGCCGCGCGGGTAAAGAGCGGGTGCGACCGGGCCCCGAGGGGGAAGGCCAGACGCCAAAGGCCTGCCACCGGGGAGGAAACCCAGGGAGCTGAAAGCAGGAGGCGTTAGGTGCGACTGGGTCCCGAGGAGGGAGGGCCAGCCGACGGCGACCCGACGGATTCGGAGGATGCCGGGCGCACGCGAACAAGGGAAGAAAGAAGGCGTGGCCGCCCGAGTAGCAGTCGACGCACCCGCGGACTGGCGTCTGGGACAGAGCGCGCGTGAAGCCCAGGGCGGCGCGGAAGTGGAGTGCGTCCCAGAGCTCGCCGAAGCACCGGCCGGGAAGGCGGTCCCTGGGCCTGCGCCGGGTGGCGAAGACAGCGGTGGGCCCGCTGGCAGCACCTGGCGAGACGGACGCCCGGCCACAGAGTGAAGCGCGCCGTCGCGAGCCAGCAGTAGCCACGCCGGCCCGAACGGCGCGCGAGAGAACGCCCTAGAGCCTGCCGATGGGACCGACCCAACGCAGTCCCCGGGCCTGCATCGGTGGCGACGGCGGCGGAACACACCCACACACACACACACACACACCTTTAAACTCCGACTCGCTGGTGACGGCAGTCAGTGGACAACGTGAGCACACACAGACACACGGGTCCCAGACAGAGTGGCCCACGCTCAGAGCTGCGCGGCTACACGAATCAATTATTTAGGGTACACACGGTGGCATCATATGGCCACTGATATTGAGGGTAGACTTTGGACAGCCACGGCCAGGACTTGGAGGGAGGCGACTGGGCGGCGCTCTTCACGTGCTACCCGGAGGCCTTCGTCGACATCTACAGCCCCGAGGACTCTGGGGAGTATATGTGCAATTTAAATTTGTGTACATAAACATACATACATGTGTGCAAACATACATATTCCTTTTTGTCGATATTTGTATAATCTGGAACCCTGCGACCCCCCGCCCCCTAAACGGGACCCCTCCGGATCCTTGGCCCCAGGGGCGCCCTGGACGCCCTTGCAGGCGGTCCCCTGTGCTTCCCGGTGCTCCTGAAGCTCCTGCTGGGCTTAGGCAATGGGCCCAAATCGGTCAGGAGGGTGGCCGGACGGCCCCGCGAGAGCCCACAGAGACCCCAGACACCCATCATACACCCCATGACGACCGAAAGAAGACACCCAAGAGGCGATCGAAACGCAGAAATCAGTGATTTCCTATGGTTTTTGCATGATGTCGAGAATGCTCAGTTCTTCGGTGTTCCCGGCGTCCGAGATCGCCCAGGAGGCTAGAGAATCGCCCAAAATTTAATCAAGAGGGTTTCCCAGGCAGTCCAAGAGGAGCCCCAAGACGGTCCAACAGGGCCCCAAGATAGCCCGAAGAGAGCCCCTCGACGGCCCGAGATGGCCCCAAGACGCCTCCCGAATCATTCCAAATCGTGACCCGGTCGTCCAGGGAGACCGTTGTTGGAAGCAGAATGGCCCAGGGAAGCCACCAGAAGGCAAGGCTTTAAAGACCTTCGTGAGGCTTACAAGAGGTTCTCCTAGGACACGCCTCCGCAAAAAGAGCTGAAGATGGGAACGAATTCGCAAGGTAGGGCGAGAATAAGAAAGAGGAAGAGAAAACAAATCAGAAAACATGAGGTAAGGATGACAAATAACATGATTACAACGATAATGTCAGAAAAAGGCAACCACGAGTTATCGCTGCATGCTCCGATTAACCTTATTGCCCTCCTGTCTGCATGCCAAACCTCAAGGAGCAAAGTGCATGGCGCCAGGCGCCAATGCAGTCTTGTGTACATACATATATATATATATGTATTCTTTATACATATGCATGCATTGTTAACCTAGGCGCCTCTCCAGGGAAGTAGGGCTCTGAGGTAAGGATTGGCAACGCTTCCGCACATTGTCGAGTGGTGTTGGTCGGGAAGTTCTCGAGCTGTTGAACACATCGGGTACACCCCTCACGCAGATCGCGACGTCATGGTCGACAAAACACAACGATGTGGGTCTAACCTTAGATGTTGTCCATGCCCGCACGTGTGCTTCTCAACATTTTGTCTGATCTTTCCTTGTCGACTGCAATCGCAGGGTATTGGAGCCCCATCTGCGCGAAGCTCTTCGCAAAGTGTGGCAATGCCGTCTGCGATCGACTGTCGCCCCCCCTGCTTGGTATCCTCATTCCGGTTAATTGCCATTAATATGGTGATTCATGATTCGTATCCTCACCATCGATGGCACATGTACTCACGGGCTCCACGTGAGCGTCTTGGGATGCGTCGAGTGAGGCTCACCATACGCACTTGCAACATCATCTCCTTGGGCACCCATGAACACGACTTCTGATGCTCGCGAGTGTAGCTCTCCCAGTCTGATCCTATCCTCGTTACTGTTCGGACTCCTGAGGTAATTCCCACCGTCGAATCGCAAGCTGTGGCGACCCTCGTTGCCCCCGCATCTTCCTATTCGCAATCGCACGGTGCGGAAACCTCACCTGCGCCAACTCACCGCAAGGTGTGGGGCAACCACTCCTGCGCTTGACTGCGCCCCCGCAACTACACCACATTCTGGACACCTGACGGCGTCATCTCAGACTGTTCCGCAAGGGTGCCTATGGTCCACCTGGACTTCTGAGCCTCCCAGACGTCCTGGCCAAGCCCAGCCAACGGGCCGAATGAGGTCAGGAGGGCGACCAAACGGCCTTGCGAGAGCCCCCAGCGGCCCCAGTCACCCACCGGGCGCCCGAAGAAGGCCTACATAATGCCCCCAAGAGGCCTTCCAAACCCAAAATGCAATGATTTTCCAATGGTTACTGCGTGTTTTTCCGTCAGAAGGACCAGTGGGTTCGGTCCCCAGGTGCGGCCCGGTCTTCCCCAGGGTTCGTGGGCCACGTATCCTTACAAGGCGTTGCCCAGGTTTCGAGTAAGGGATCGACTACAGAATTGATGTTGCCCCAAAATCGATTTTCCGTCGCATCTGCGAACGAACGCGTTGAATCCTCCACGCAGCATTCTACGCATTTGTTTGCGCAGACTCGGCGAACGAATCAGTTCTGGGGCAAGGCCAATTTTGCAGTCGACCCCCTACTCGAAGGGTTCGTTGGTCTTGGCTCCTTGGCTTCTTGGTTTTCGCGCCGTGGTTCCGTGGCGTTGGCTCCTCGGTCTGCGCTCCTGGGTCGGAGTTGTTTTTGGTTCCCCGGGAAGCCGTCTCATGACACGGCGGGGGCGCCGATGAATCGGGGGCGGCAAAGAGGGGGGGGATGGCTAGGGGGGGGGGATATCATGGCGTGGGCCATGAGATTTCCCCAGATTTCCTGGCGCCTCCGCTTATTTCACTACGTCCCTGGCCCCCCCGCTGGGCCGCGCACATGCCGCTGGTCATGATTTGAACCCCCCCCCGCTTGGACCCCCCCCTCTCGGCCGCTCCCGAGTTAAGGGATGCGCCCAGGAGGCTGCAGACCCTGGCGGGCTCCTGATCCGTTGAGGGCGGCGGTGGTTCCCACGGCCGCTCCACCGGTCGGAGTCCCGCGGGCTCCCAGGCCCCACCAGTGTGTCCCTCTCCAGTGGTTCCTGTCCCTCTCCAGTGGCTTCCCGACGGGAGTCCCTCTCCAGCGGTTCCTGATCCCGTGTCCCCACCGTGCCGGGGCCCGCGCCAGGCTCATGCGAGGCGCTCCAGACCGGGCCTCGCCTTCGAGGGGTCGAAGGAGTTGCCAGCTCTTCCTCGGCGGAAGGGCGGCGGGAGCAGAACGAGGCCGCCTCCGCTGGCGGAGGGCTGGCGGAGGGCGGAGGGCTGGCGGAAGGCGGCGGAAGAGGAAAGGTGCCCTCCAGGAGATGACAACAGGTTTGGGTTCATCGTTTCTGAGAGCCGCCGAACGATGCTGAATTGTTCCATGCTCCGGGCGTCCGAGGCCGCCCAAGAGGCCCCCGAAATCCCAAGCAACAGTTCCTAATAGCTTGCAGAGAGACGGGCCCGGAGAGAGTCTCGTGACGGCCCAAGATGGCCCCAAGACGCCCCCCGAAGCATTCAAGATCTGACCCGTTCGATGGGAGAGTGCCTGGTTCGCAACAAGGTAGCCCGAGGAACCCCCAGGGGCCCCCCGAAGGCGCCCAGGAGGCCACGAGATGTCTCCCAGAAGTCTCCCCAGGAGGCCACCAGAAGTCTATGTTTTCTCCTCCTCCTCCTTCTCCTCCTCCTCCGGGTTTAACCCGGCGGGGACGCGGGACCCCAAAATCATCTGGAATTTAGCGGACGAATTTTTGCGCAGTCTCGGCTGCAGAGGCAGACTTGGAGAGGCTTGCCCCTGAGAGCTTGTGATATCGGGGAGTCTCCGCCTCCAACGGGCGTGTCATCATCATCCTCCTCCTCCTCCTCCTCCTCCTCCTCCTTCCCCTCCTCCTCATCCGCCCTGGCCCGTGTTGTTGCTTCCTCTTCTCGTTAGTTGATTCAGAGTGAGTGCCAGGCCTGTTCAGTTCGGATGCCCGCGTCCAGAGCCCTTGTTGTGGATCAAACCCCTTGCCAAGGTCTCAGCCCTGGACCCTCCCAGGACCCCGTGCCTGGGACAGAGGGGAGGGCGTTCGCGGGGGAATTCGTACACCAGTTCCACCAACCTCAGGGAACCGTTATGCCCTCACTTTCTGCGTGAGTTGTGGCAGATATGAATATGTCACCCTCTATGGCAGGCGCCTCGAGGCTGCCTGTGGGTCCATCATTCGGAAGGACAGACAGGATTTGTCTTGCATCAGCTAGGGGTTATCCAAGTGGCTTACGGAGTGGTGTCCCATTCCGCCGACCCCCCAGAAGGAGCGAGTGCTACGATCTTGGAACTTCTCTTAGGGGCCAGGAGCTTCTTGGATGCATTTGGGGGGCTCGTGTGATGCCTTGCAGGGGCCTCTTGGAGGGCTCTTGGGGCCATATGAGGGGCCTTCTGGGCCTGCCTGGGGGCCTCCTGGGGGGCTTCTTGGGGACCTCTTGGGAGCCTCTTGGGGCCTCTTGTGGGCGCCTCGGGGCGTAGGAGGGGCTCGTTGGTTCATCTTGGGGGAGAAAGGCTCCAAATGTCAGCTCGTATCCCCCTTCGTGGGCCCCTCTTGGGGCACTCTTGGGGCTGAGCCTTCTGGAGGACCTCTGCGGCCGTCTTGGGGCCCTCTTGGGTTGTCCTGTGGCCTCCTTGGATGCCTCATGGGCCCTGTTGGGTCGACCCCGGGTGCCCCATGGGCCGTCATGGGCGCTGCCAAGACGGAAAAGGTGAGCATGGCAAAAAGCGTACGTTTTCCCTCAGGGAGTGGGGCGATGTTTGCTTCTTGGGGCCCTCTCGGGGGTCCTCTGTTTACGAACTCTTCGACGTCTGGACGACAACGACGACGACGACGACGACGACGACGACGACGACGACGACCACGACCACGACCACGACCACGACCACGACCACGACGACCACGACGACCACGACGACGACGTCGTCGACGACGACGACGACGACGACGACGACGACCGGCGACGACGACGTCGCCGCAGGCATCATCGATTAGTAGTCCCTCCCTTGAGCCCCTGGGGGGACAGCCACAATGTCTTCACGCGCCTCTCTGCCCCCCGGGCAGGCGCGGGCCAGCGGGCACCCCCCGAGGAGAGGGGGGAGGGTGCGCGTGCCGGCGCGGCTGCAGGCCGTGCTGGGGCGCCGAGGCCTCGGCTGGCCCCTCGCTTAAAAGTGTGTCGCGTGCCTTTTTTGAAGGGGCCCTGGGACACACAAATGAATGCACACAAGTAAAAAGAGCCCCCTATATTTTCCCATATGTTCTGGGCTTTTGTCTTCCCCCCCACACTTCCCATATTTTCCCATATCTTCTGGGGAATCGACGATTATAATTGTGTCGGTGTGTTTTCTTCCCTACTGATTTTTCTGCTCAGCCAAATAGCAAAAACATACAACACGAAAATGGTGGAAACAGTGACAAACGCTCAGGGGAACGAACAGAGAGCCTAAACGATAGCAAAAACATCAAAAACACAGAAGCTCAGGGGAACGAACAGTGACATAAACATAACAACCCGGAGGTCCGCGCGGATGTCTCGGATCTGCGCTGGAACCCCCTGGCGGCGCCTCCGGCGCCGCCCGTGGCGCGCTCCGCGCGCCAGGGAGGGGGATCCAGCGCCGATCCAAGAAATCCGCGCGGACATTATGTTTCTATCATGTTTCGTTCTCTTAAATGGATCCAAATAGCTCCTCCTCATCCTCCTCATCATCCTACTCCTCTTATCCTTACTTCGTAGTAGTATGCTCTCCCACTATGTCAACCAGCCGGACGGTTGCGACCCAAGGCTGGACCCTTTCCGTCCCTTTTGCAAAAGAAACGAATACAGAGTCTACGACGTTCGTGCCAACACGGACATTGTGTCGCCCATGTTGCAAAATGCGTGAATGGGGACGGAGCGCACATGTCGCGCGAAAGGCCGACACGTCGTTCTCGCCTTGGCGCCACGCTCTGGCCGCCGGATCGCGCGCAAGCGGCAGCGGCAGCGGGGCCGCGCGAGGGCGGGCGAAATGCCTTCTTCGCCCAAACGCCGCGCAGCTTGTTAGTAGGAGGAGGCGGAGGAGGAGGAAGAGGAGGAGGAGGAGGAGGAGGAGGAGGAAGTGGGGGGAGGAAGTGGGAGGAGGAGGGGGGGGGGGGGAAGGGGGAGGGGGAGGGGGAAGAGGAGGGGGAGGACACTGGGGACATTAGCAATGCGCGCGCGTGCTTATGTCAGATGCCCCCGGGGTCGCGGGAGGTGAACCTGGCAGCGCTATGTCAGCGCGGCGCATGACTCGACGTCGCCGCACCCATCGGAAGCTCTGCCAATCCCGCCCCTTGCGCGGCCCGCGCAGCTTTGCTCGCCGCCGAGTCGTCGGAAGAGGGGCCGCGCGCGAGAGCCTTCCGTTTGCGAGATGGGAGCGCCTTCCGATCATCTTGGCCTTGGCATCGCTCGGCCGTGTGCATTCTTCCTTCGGCGAGGACCATCGAGGATCATCCTTGATCATTTGGCGAACGAACCACGCACGAAACCGAAAAAAACACAGGGAATGGACGTCCGAGCGATGGCCAGTGGCATAAAGTCGCATTACAAGTCGTTCGTATGTTGTGAGAGGGGAAGACGGGAGGCTCCTCCATGTCTTTTCTTCTGCCTTCTGCATAAGTTCTCCCTGTCGCACCCCGGGGCCAGTTTTTAGGGCGGGCCGGGCGTTTCGCCGGAGACTTCCTCACCATTCATGATCTTGGAGCTGAAAGCGTGGCAACAGTTTCGCGCATGGAGGGCGGGTCGTTTTCAACATGTGGTTCTCGCCTTAGCGCCGCGCAAATTCGTTTTGAAGAACTGCAGGAGCTTCGCGGATTGAGACGACTGGATTTTAACATGTAGTTCTCGCTTGATCACCGAGCGCATTTAAATATGCAAGAGCTTCACGGATTGAGGGCGGCTCGTTTTCACTTAACAAAATGCGATTCTCGCTTTTGCGCCGCGCACATTCGTTTTTCACAGTTTGCAGAAGCGTTTCACGGATTCCCACGATCAGCGTACCAGAAATTGTGTTTTCGAAGGGCTCGCGATTACGAGGGTGCAACTGTTATGATTCGCGGTGTTGAAGTCCCAGGAAAGGCGTTCTCGCACGATTCAGGATCGTCAAGACGCAATTGTCAGGTTTATCCGTGGCGTTGGAGTCCACACTTTGGCATGCTTGAGGGTCTTCAAACGGTTGTCTTCCAACGAGGCAGTTCCCTCAGTGGAAATGAAAACCTTGTAGGGTCCTATGAAGAGTGTGCTTGGAGGAAGGGATTATTCCGCTATCGTTGATGATTTGTGGGTTTACATTTGTCTTCCTCCTCCTCCTCCTCCTCCTCCTCCTCCTCTTCCTCCTCCTCGCACCCCACAAAGACGCCGAAGCCTTTTAGACACTATGGAACTCCGTCCTCATCCCCCACATGTCTCCCTCAACCTCCCCGCCGTCCTGCCCCTCCTCTTGTTTAAGCTCCCCTCATTCCTCCTCCTCCTCCTCCTCCTTCTCCTCCTTCTTCTCCTCCTCAGCCTCTTTTCCCTTCCGCATTTCCTTGCCCATTTCGCCTCGTTCCCCCCCCCCCCCTCGTCGTGTTTCTCACCCTCCTGACCGACGCTTCCGAGTCTGTGGACGGCGGAAAGTTCCCCCCCCCCTCCGAGGACGTGTACCCTGCGGAGCTGTGGCAGGCCGCGGCGGCGTATTTCGAGGGCCTGGACGACCAGCACATGGTCCTGCCTGGCGGACGCTACTCCTGCGCCCAGGAGCTCATGGCGCGCGGCCTGGACTTCCTCGAGGGTTACTCCCTTGGGCGGGCGACCGGGGAGCAAACGAAGGGCACAGGCACAGGCCCGCCGGAGAAAAGAGTGGAAGAAGAGAAATAACAACTACAAACATGTTTTGTTTATACTCATTTGTGCTTACTTTTCTATATATATATATATATATATATATATGTATATATAAAAACAGAGAGATATAAATATAACATGGAACCAAAAACATTACACATATCGGCGCCCGAAGCGCGCGCCTGGGCCGGCGCCGCGGGCGCCGACGAGGGGGGGCGTCCAGTGCCGACCCCCAAAGAATCCGCGCGGACATCCGAAAGGCTACACGCGCGGGCATCCGAACAAAAAATAAACCTTTTCCCCTAAGGGAATGAGGCGATGTTTGCTTCTTGGGGCCCCCTCGGCGGTCCTCTGGGAGCAAGTTTGGGCCGCCTTGCCAGGCGCGTGGGCCGCCTCGAAGCCATCTTGGACCGTCTGGGATCCACCCGGGGCCGTCTCGACGCTCTCTCGGGCTACACGCTGTTCGGTTCTAAGTATTCGACTGTTCTTTGATTTTTGGGCGGGCCAGGATCCTCTCGTTTCTAACTGTTCTATCCTGGGCCTCTTCCTGGCCACCAGGGGGCCAGGAACGATTAGAAACGAGCGCGATTAGAGATGAGCACGATTAGAAATGAACGACGTATATGTTTATGCAGCGTCTGCGATTTCTGTCTGCTTTATGGAGAAGGCCTTACGGCCGGTGCCGCCGACCCTGCAGACGACGACGACGAAGAGGAGGAGAAGGAGGAGGAAGAGCAGGAGGAATCTTTAGGGGCCTCCGGACAGGCTGAAGGCTCCGGATGTCCGTGTCGGTCCTCCGTCTGCGGACCGTCTTGCAGCCGTCCTGGGCGCTTTTCGGGAGGAGGGCAGACGAGGAGAAGAAGGAGGTTGACAGGGGGGGCAGGGCTTCAGGGGAGGAGAAGAAGACGGGCACAATCATGATGATGATGTTGATGATGATGAAAATGATGATAATGATGATGATGATGATGATGATGATGATGATGATGATGATGATGATGATGCTGATGATGATGGTGGTGGTGATGATGATGATTGTGGTGGTGGTGATGATGATGATGATGATGATGATGATGATGATGATGATTGTGGTGGTGATGATGATGATGCTGATGATGATGATGATGATGCTGATGATGATGATGGTGGTGGTGGTGATGATGATGATGATTGTGGTGGTGATGATGATGAGGATTGTGGTGGTGGTGATGATGATGATGATGATGATGGTGATGATGGTGATGACGACGACGTTTGTGACGATGACGATGATGATGTCGCTGTGGTCGAGAGGGGGTAATCAGTCGGGTGGCGGGAGGACGCGGCGGGTGGGCCAAGCTCTGCCGCTATCGAGGGGCCTGCGTTATTGGAAAGCCCCGACCGTTCAGGGTTGAGCCAAAAGGCGTTCCAGCTCGACCGATCCACGAGGTGCCGGAAGCCACCGCCGGAGGAGCATCGCGGCGTGCACCTGCCGTGCCCGAGAGCTTTGTGAGGTCGAGACGACCTCCTGCAGACGTCGAGGCAACGCGGGAGCCTCGTCCGAGAAGTGAGCCCAGGAGGGGCCCCATCCCAGGGGCGAGGAGGTAGGAGCAAGAGGTGGAGGAGGAGGAGGAGGAGGAGGAGGAGGAGGCGGAGGGGGAGGGGGAGGAGAAGGAGGAGGAGGAGGAGGAGGAGGAGGAGGAGGAGGAGGAGGAGGAGGAGGAGGAGGAGGAGGAGCGGGGGGGGGTCCCCAAGACATGCTGCAGGAAGAAGCAGCCCGGCACACGCCAGCTGCTGCGTGCGCGGCGGCGCATCACTTCCAGGCGTTCGCTTCGCGCTTCGTGCCTGCAAGAGAGATACGGCGTCGTTCACGCCTGGGCACGCCCTCACCACCCCATTCCCACCGGCCGCCTCCTAGCTCCTCGCACCCCTCTGCTATCTCATACACCTCCTCTTGCTGTCTGACGCCTGTCTCACAAGAACCGCGCAGCTATCTCTCAGTACAAGTCTGCTCAATGTCCATAGCCATTTGGGCGCAAGCCGTTCTAGTTGAAGCCGTTCTGGTCGAAGAGCAAGGTCACCCCTTGAAGTCGTGCCGCTGCCTGAGTTCCCACACCCTTCGGTTGGATGCGTGGGGAACCAGACGAGCCTCCTGCAAAGCGTGCGCGTGAAGGGCGAGACGCGGGGTGCTCCTTGGCGGTCGAAGATCCCATCATCACTCTGGATGTCGGCGGAAGCCGCATGCGTACGCGGCGGAGCACGCTGACTTGGAGCTGTGTCTATTTTCGGAACGTTTTGAGAGGGCCATTCAAGCCTGAGTTTGGCGATCTATTTCTTGATTGCGATGCTGCCGTTTTCGAGCATGTACTTTACTTTTTCCAGGTATCGCAAGTTGGGGCCGTCCGACCCACTTGCGAAAATCGAAGAGGTTGCGAATCTGTTCAGCGTTGACGAGTTGCTGGCGGAAGCAGCTCGCCGCCGAAAAATCGAAAGCATGGTTGGCGCATGGCGCACATGGTCAACTTACCTCACCGTTTTCGAAAAGGCGGAGGAGTTGTGTTTCCACTGTTTCGAGGGACGCGAATCCATCGCTCTGGGGCGCCCGCGCAAGTTGCTGAAGAAGGGCGAAATCAAGGTGTATCTCCCAATGTCATTGGGAGATACACCTGTTCTGGAGGCGACAAGTGATAATAAGTGGTTGGTCGAAACCTCGGTGGAAACTGCCAGCAATGATTCTGAAGGGGTCGGCTACCGTTGCAGCAAGAATTTGGACGCCAGCATCTGCGATTCGTTGACATGGGAAGCAGATTGCATGTCATTCCGCTGGGCAACTTGGGGGTCCATCGTGAGCGGCACTGATACGGGTGACGGCTGGCTAAGGATACCGTTGACGACGAAACGCCCTGTGTATGCGGTGCCGCCCTGTGCCGACGAAGCTATCGCAAACACACCCATGGTTGAGTTAGTTCCATCATCGGGGCGGATTTTGTGCAGGTGGCTATCTGGACGAAGCCCCGAACCTGGCGAATTGGTGGACGAAGAGTGGGCTGTGCTGCAGCGATGACCGACATTCGGAATATGCACTGTGTATCAGCTTCGGTAAGGTGATCGTTTTCTTATCAACTGTGTTGCCGATCCACGCGGGCCCTTGCACCCCTTTCCCCCCCCACATGCAGTAGATCTTAGCTGCTGTTGGCGCATGTTTCAGGCAAGTGGAGCCTCCCCCATGGGACGCACTGTTGCAAACAGTCGCGTGACGCAGATGTCCGGAGTCAGACCCCCCCTCCCTTCCCTTCCGCCCAATGTCGCAGCGCCGAGTCCGAAAATGTTCACGAGACTGTATACTGGTTCTGACTGTCACTGCCGCGCATCGCCTGAGGAAGAGGAAGAAGAAACAAGGCAGCCCATTCCTGCGCACTCCAGCGCTACGCCCCTCGAGGGAGGCAGCCCGCGGCTGGCGTTCGGCGGCATCTCGAGCCCGCCCCCCATGGTGTCTTTGCTGCACGGGCGCAGAGCATGCAGGCCAGAGTCGCGTTGGTCCGGCGCCTCTCGACGGCTCTCAGGACTCGGCGGCGCGCGAGGGGAGGGAAGCGAGAGAAGGAGAAGGCCCTCTCCGAAGCCCCCGCGCCTCGGAGAGGCCCTCTCCGAAGGAAGCGAGGGGCGCTTCCCCGAAGCCCCCGCGCCTCCGGAGAGGCCCCCTGCGCCGTCCGGGAAGGCTCGGGAAACTTCTCAGAGGGCTGGAGGACTTCCGGGCCCTCCGAGAAGGCCCGCCCCTGCTAACGTCCACGCCGAGGAGGAGGAGGAGGAGGAGGAGGAGGAGGAGGAGGAGGAGGAGGAGGAGGAGGGGGAGGAGGAGGAGGAGGAGGAGGAGGAGGAGGAGGAGGAGGAGGAGGAGGAGGAGGAGGAGGAGGAGG